GAAGAAAAAATAAAAAAAAGCTGTTTGTTGGGCATCGCCCTCGTGCTGTGTGCTGTTTGTATCTCGTCCATGTTGCGAGTCGGGCTCAGGCCGTCTGCTGACCCCTGGGGCTCCCCCAAGCAGGGGGAACCATGTTCCTCTCTCCGACCCCACCCCGGGGTTCCCATCTGGCTTCTGCTGGGTGAGGTGGCCCCAGAGAGCTTTGACTTGCGTTGGTGCCGAGAAGGATGGGCTGGCTTCTTCGGTAGCTGCTCCTCAGAGAAGGGATCTTACATTTGCTGGAATGTTCTCTGTGCTTGCCCCTCGATTTCCTTTTTACGTGCTGTAGGTGGCCCACACCTGCGTTTGTTTGCATGAGTGACCCTTCACTAAACAGAGCAGCACTTGCCTTATGAGGTCGTGAGTGCTGTCACGAGCTTTGGAGGACGCTGACCAGGTTCCTCCTCAGGGGGTTCCACTTCCTGTAGGGGCCTAGGTAAGATGGCCGCTCTGCTGGTTCCTGCTCTGTCATTGCTGTCCTTCCCCTTGTCCATGAGGTCAAGGTCAAGAGGCAAATGAGACTGTCTATTGTTGCCCAGAGGGAGATGATGGTATCCCCTTTCGGGAGCCCCCGGGGTCCGAGAGAGAAGGAGGAGAGGGCAGGCTGGTGGCACTTGGCTGGAGAGGCAACAGGCCAAATTCCAGCCGGTTCTAAATGGAACGTTTGGACACCCGCCAGACGCTAGCATATGTTGGACTCCGTCCCTGGAGACAGAGAGCCCCTGCCATCTGCACCGCTGTCGATTCCTTCCGGAAAGGTGGCGCTCTCTGTCAGGTGCGTGACCGTCCGTCATTATTAGCAGTGACATTATTAGTAATGATTCTTCCGCTGCTGTTTATTGCGCACCGCCCTTGCGCCGTGTGCCGTTGGTATCTCGTTACTTCACAAATCACCCCTCGGGGCCAGGAGTGGGTGCAGGGAGGTGCACGTTTATTCTTGTCCGTTTTTCTCTTGAGAAGACTGAGCCCAGGCCGCGTGCCTGAGAACCCACGGCTCAGGGCCTGAGATCGGGATCCGGCTCCGCGGGTCGTGCGAGCTGGGTGGTCTCCCTGCTTCTCTCTGCGTCTCCATAAGGAGCCGTCTGGAACGGTGTGTCCCAGACGGGCCTCTGAGGCTGGGTCCGTCTTGGTCCTGGAGACTGGCTTTTGAGCGTCATGCCGGAGAAGGCCGAGCGCTGGTGCACACACGTTTATCAGCCTCGCGGCATGAAGAGGCCTTAGAGAGCGTCTGACCGGGGCCTGCCGGGGAGGGCAGCCGGGCCACACCGTGAATCGGTGGAGACCTGACAAGGCTCTGATGCTCAGCCCAGGGCGCCGTCTCCCACGGTGCTGGGCGTTCGCCGGGGAGCGTGGGGCGGCCCTGGATGACCAGCCCCAGCCCCGGGACAGGCGTTGTCCTCTCTGACAGCTGTCACCCTGCCCCTTCACTGTGTCCGGCAAATGTCTTTTGTCCCCAATAAGTCCTAGGTGGGCTGGACCCCCAAGGAGCAGTGTCCAGAAGGCCAAAGGGAGCCACCGGAGCCTGAATGCTCCGTGCTTGCCTGGCCCCCCCTTCCCCCTCCTGCTCCACGGGCCCCTGACACTGGTCACTCAGTGAGAGGGACAGGGGAGAAGCTGGGCAAACTGAGCATCGAGAGCCCAGGGGACAGAGTGTATGATCTCCAAGCAGAAAAAACGGCCGCTCAGAGAAGCCAAGGTCACCAGAGTTCAAGGGTGACCAGGTGCTCCCCGCAGGCGCTTCTGCGGTTAGACCTTAAGCATTTCCTTTTTTGGGGGGGGAGGGGAGGGCGTGGTGAAGGGGAAGAGTGGCAGAGTTTGGAAGACAAAATGATGCAAATCCTAGTGGCTGAAGAGAGGTCCTCCCAGAGTGAGAATCTGGAGCACAATGGAATGGTCGGAAGTCCGTAAAATTGACACAGGTTTTGGAACTTAAGTCTGCGTTATTCTGAGTCGTGGTAAAAGTCGTAACTTGGGTAGTAAAAGCAGAGAAAGCCTTTGGAGACACTGGACAGGCGGCGCGGTAGCCAGGTGCACCGTGCATGGGGCAGACACGGGCCTGCCCGGACCCCTGCCTCCGCCGGGGTCCCCTCTCGTTCCTCACCGGGCCCCCCCACCTGTCGCTGGCCCCGGCGTCTGCCTCCCACGTCTCTCCTCCCCAACATCATTATCAGAGAATCACCGAATTTACAGTTCCAAGCCTTGTCCCAACAACTCGGACGGTTCCGACCCGGCCCTGTAAGCTAGCAGGAAGGGGGCTTCCAGTCTTTGCACTTGAGGACACGGAGTCTGCGAGGGGTTTGGGAGGGTCGCCAGGTCCGGGGGTCAGCAGAGAATGGGGTCTACAGAGTTTCTGAACCACTGGGCCGGTGCTTCTCAACAGGGGAAAATTTTGTCCCCCAAGGGACCTTTGGCAATGTCTGGAGACAATTTTGGTTGTCACAGCCTGCAGGGGAGAGAGGGTTCTTGTGGCATCTAGTGGACAGGAGCCAGCGATACAGCTGAACGGCCCCCGCGACAAAAAATTCTCTGGCCCCGAAACACCAACGGTGCCACGTCTGGGAAAGCCAGCACGAGGCCACGCTGCCTTGGATGCCACAACCGCTGTTTCCCAAAGGGCCACTTGTCCCCATTTGTGAGTTATTGAATAAATAAAGCTCTTCTGAGTAACAGCAGTGATCATGGTTGCTGCCTCAAGTTC